CCAGAGGAAGTTTAGGCTGGATATTATAAAACATTTGTTCACTGAAAGAGTGATCAGGCATTGGAACAGCTTCCCAGGGAAGTGGTGGAGTCACCATCCCTGGAGGTGTTCAAGAAACGTGTAGATTTGGTGCTTAGGGACGTGGTTTAGTGAGTTAGGTGGTGTTGGGTTGATGGTTGGACTTGATGATCCTTGAGGTCATTTCTAACCTTAATGATTCTATTTTTTTTTGTTTATTAATGACACTAATAGGGGATTAAACCTGGGATTTCAGCAGGTGAAAGACAAGTGCGTCTGCTGCCTTCTCTATATTAGTTTTACTTTTGCTTATCACAACCAAAGAGGTGGGAAACTGCACAAGAGCAGACAAAATTTTGCTGTTGACTCCCAGCTCCTAACCCGAAGGGCATTGCCTAAAGTCGTTGCACCATTTGGTGCCTTCGAGAGATGATGATGTCTTTTGATGACGCCTGAGGCATGGTCTGAGAAGAGGTCAAATCCTGAGGCCATGTCATTGTTTTCAGCCTTTCAGGACCATGACATTATGCCCACTGGGTTATAAACATTTTCCATCCATGTAGGAGCTGGTAGAGCTGTGCTATATAGCCTATATATGATACATATGCTATATACACTATATAGCCCATGCTATAAGTTTTGTTTCAGCCTTTCCTGCAGGGAAGAAGAAAGAACAAGAAAGAAAAAACAAGATAAAAAATCCACTGCAAATTTTGGTGCTTTTAGGTACCAGCACTCAGAATATAACTGTGCATGAAGCGTCTCTGGTTCAGAGACCTACAAAGCAATGCAACCAGTAGTAGCAGCAGAAGCTGAAGAACTTCCACAAATATTGAAATATTCAGGATTTTTTTTAAATGTCTGTCTGCAGTGTGTAGCGACTGAACTGAGAGGAATCCAGAAACTGGTTTTGAAAGCAAGGGAGATGCCCTGATCTGTCTGTATTTGATTGTATTCTTGTAAAAGTACCATGGAAGTTTTATTGTGCAAGAGTTGCATCTTGCCCTTCCTGAGCAAAAAGATCTGGGTGATTTATGTGCAAAAAATGTATTTTCTGCAAGATGTCTTTGGCATTGATAGCCTCTTTTTTCTGCCTGTTGATTTATAATCCATCTTTACCTGCTATTGTGACAGGTGCTTTCCAGTGGGAACGATTGGAAGAAGATATAAAAAAGAAGTTGAAGGATACAGAAAAAACTGAACATGTGCTTGAGAAAGTTAAATGTATCCTGAAAACTCCAGGGAAGGTACATCTGACTCACTTGGGGTAACTGTTAGTATTAGTGAATTAAGTTATTAGGAAATTGTTTTGTAGACAAGGTTTCCTTGTCGGTCTTTGTTTTAAACTCACTTGGACTTGCACAGCTTTTATTACTTTATCTGTGGGTTGTTCACAGGTATGTGCAAAATAGAAACACTAAGATGTAATGTGCAGAATTGCTGTAATAGGCAAAAAGTACACAGGTAGATATCCTAAAGGTATTACTCATATTCGCAGCTTTGCATGTCATGTAACAACATGATTACATGTTCCTAACTCTCATGTGATAAAGGCTGCCCAGGAAAGCTTCACTGCCCTGAATATGTGACAGAAGTTATGTTTCTGCAGTAGATCGGGAGAGTTGGTTTCTCTTATAGATGTTGTGATATCCAAATTTATTTAAAATATATTTAATTCAGTAGATGATTTCACAGTAAAATGTAGTTTATGCCCCATTATTATGTTAATAAAAAATTACACTATAGAATTAGTTTTAACAACCGTTTGCTGATAGAGCTTATACATTCCTCAGTACTATAGAACTTGCACAAAGTATTTCTGTCAATTTAAATGGGAAATAATCTTGGACTGTCTTGAGATAACGTAATATAAAGATCACTCAGATGTAGGCTTGCCAGTCTTAAGCGTCCACAGCTAAAACATTCAGAGGGTTGGACTTAGAAACCCCTGAAATGTTCTAGGATAATATGATGGCTTTACCCTTGTCTGGGAGCCAACCCCACACAACCCTGTTCGCTCGCCCTCCCCTCTCCTGAGGATTGAGGAGAGAATTAAAGGGTTAAAGGGAAGAAATGAAGAAAGTTAACCCTGTCTCGGCTTAACCCAGGACAGATAATAAGCCTGAGTTGTTGTTTCTTTTGGGGTTTTTGTTGTCCCTTTTATATCATCTTTAAAAGTTTTCCTTCAAAGGCATAGAAATCAGTTGTGATTTTTATTGATAAAATAAATTGGATAAGGCTTTAAGAATAAATTCAACTCTTTCATCTGAATAGGAAAGAGTTTGGAGTCCAGAAAATCTGTGATGCAGTCAAACCTGCCCAGAGGTGCCGGATGGGGGAATTTTGCTGTGGGTCAGAGAGTACTGAGGCAAGTGTGAGTGTGGGAGACAGAGATGCCTGGGAGCTGCTGCACTGTGGGAAACAGGGAAATAAATGATAAAGATGATTGCAGAGGATTACACGTGTGAGAGATGCAGTTGGGGAGCAGCAGGAGGACATGAAGTGGAGAGCAAAAGGCTGTTGTTTAGTTTCACCACATAAATGATTTATTCTAGTCTTTTATTTTGTGGGCAGCTATATGTGACGCTGTTTTATTAATAATGTATTTTGCAGCTAAACTCTGTAAAGGAGTGCAGGTCTCACCAGATGGGTGATCGGCTGTACAGTACTTCGCTCAGGCTGTTCTTTAACACGCCTGTCCTAGCTGATGTCATCTTCAAAATACAAGGTACGGTACCTCTGTGCCTCCTGCACCTCCAGCATTTATCCTCTCTGCAGGAGAGTGGGAAAGGGAGGTGACTGTATTTTCTGTTGTGTCAAAACAAAGAAAATGTGTTGTTATCACCGTGGAAAGCCATTTTTGCTTAGAACTAGTGCCTGCATCCCAATAGCTTATCAGGGCTGAGCCTGCAGAAATGCTTTCTGCCTGTCACGGTCGACTTTGCGCCTCTCTAGTTCACAATGCACCCCTTGGAGTCTTAGCAAAGTGAGGGATGTGCTGCAGGAAAGGCTTCTGCAATGGCATAGCACCAAGGCAGCAAGGCTAAACCACAGATTGCATCACAGGGGGTGGCAATTTTATTTTAAAACTTATTTATCCAGCTCACATTCCCACCTGCACCAGCAGCCAGATGTATTCAAGGGCTCTGCCCTAGCATCAGACCTCAGAGAGGCGTGAGCTCTGGTTGCCACATCTACACTTGTTGCCCTCCGTGAAAAGGCCAGAGATGCTGGGTGACTCCTGGCCACCTTACCTCTGTCTGTCCCAGGCTGGTGCTGGCTGTGGATGTGCGTTTCCCTACCTACAGGAAAAAACTTCCTCCTAGTATCTCATCTAAATCTCCCTTCTTTCAGCTTAAACCCATTACCCCTTGTCCTGTCGCTACACCCCCTGATGAAGAGTCCCTCCCCATCATATTAAGCCTATTGCTTACCTCTACAAGTGTGAAAAGAAATCTAAATTATTTTTTTTAAAGTCTGTTGAGATTATAGTAATTATCTAGTCCTCTTTGCATCCAGGATTAAAAAGGTACAGGGGAGCAGAGGCTGGCTTTCCCTGCTCATTGGTCTGCAGCAGACTGTTAAGCTTGTTGGTGGTGTTGCACAGTTCTGCTCACGGGGATGCCAAGCGCTCCTTGGCAAAGGCACGGGAAGGAGCCATGCCGGTGAGACCATCTCCTCTTCTAATTTTGACTGCAAAGAATGTGCTTGGGTGCACCAATCTGCTGCAGTGTCACAGTTGATTTTTTAATGGAAATTAAATGCATTCACTCTTAAAAATAAAGCTGCAGGGGGAAAAAATGTTGCATGCATTTGTGAGGACAAGAATGAGATGGTTTTTAGATGCTGCTGATTTTCTCAGTGTGTCCATGCCCACCTTTCATGCAGAAATGGTCTTTCAGGGTTAAGTAATTGTTTAATTATTTTCAGCTTTAAATGTCGGAGATGAATATGAAGCATGAATCCCTCAAACATAAACACACGAGGACAAACAGATTCTTCCTATGTTTGTTTAATATGCAGAAAAACCAAAAAGATCTTTGAAAGTGAGAACGAAATACTGATGCTGAGTGCAATGACATGAACAATTAATCTCAGTGCCACGCTCCTGAGAGAGGCTTTGTGGGAAGTTGCTGAAAGCATACCGCCACTATGTGTTTTACAAAAATATAAATGATGCAGAATAGGTTGAAAAGTATTTTTTAAAAGGTGTGCTTATCCACTACTAAAATGTGAACTATTTTTCCTAATGCCTGATAAATCTTCTGCCTAATTCATCAGCCACAATAATTGCATTAAAATTAAATAATTACTAAGAGAAGCTGAAGGCTTTAGTCTTGATCAGCAAATACATTATTTAGTCTTCAGATAATTCCTTGAATATTGGGAGTTGCTTTGACCAACTTTCAAAGGTACTTTGGAGCCATTGAAAATGTGACCCATTATGTCAGCATAAAGACTCCCAACATGACTGAATGTCCTTGTTAGCAGGTGAATATCCAATTCTGTGTGCATATCTTACACCTGTATCGGTTATTACTGGTGTTGCATGTGTAAATATATAATAATATTGATGTGTGTTGTGTCTATAGAAATTTATAGATTTTGTCTGCAGCTTAGACAATCTGTAATAGAAGCACAGGTAAATAGAAATAGAACAAAAATGAAAAAGTGCCACGTGTCTCCAAGGAATTGGGCAGGTGGCAGGGCCACAATTGATCCCTTTATTATAATTTTGATTAAAACATTTATTTCTGACCACAAGTTCTCATTCTGTGTTCAGTTGCTGTCCTGTCTGGCACTTGTTTGGCACCTTGGACTGCTGATGAGCACAGATTGCTCATTTGAATAATAATTTGCAGCACTGCGTGTTTATGCTATGGGCCAGAGGTTCAGCTGGTGTAAACTAGTGTAACTCCAGTGGTGTCAGATTTATCATTATAAATTTGGTATTTTTTTTTGCTGGTGGCAACTCAGCAGATGTAAACATCTCAACTGGCACAAAGTGAGTGTGTCATTAATTATCAGTTGGATGCTGCTCATTTTAAGCACTCTAAAATGGTTTCAAATCATATTCAGTGAAATTAAGGTTTGTTTCTTTTTTTTTTTTTTTTTAAATACGAGCTTTAAAAACAAGATATTGCAGTGTATTCAAAATAATCATATGTTTTGTCTTGCATCCTGCAGGTGCCAGTGTACCAGCCCACCGAGCAGTTCTGGTAGCTCGCTGCGAGGTGATGGCAGCTATGTTTAATGGTAATTATCTAGAAGCAAATAGTGTTCTGGTTCCAGTGTACGGGGTTTCCAAAGACACTTTCCTCTCCTTTCTAGAGTATCTCTATACCGACTCCTGCTGCCCAGGTGAGAACATTTCAAAATACACGTATAGCTTTTACACATTTTTTTTCACTGTGGTGCATTGATAGAGAGCAATGTAGCAGTATTTGTTTCATTGAAAAATGCCAATATTTTCATGAATAATGTCTCAGGAAAGAGAACTTGTTCATATTGTGCAATAAAAAAATAAATAAATCTTATGTAAGTAAAATCAGCTGGAGGCAGAAGAAATATAACTGTTTAGTGCTTACATAGCAAGACTAAAAAACTGTGACATTTAATTTCTGGTCCAGTACAATATTTGGGGTTTTATTTCTACATCAAAATAATATTGCTTTCTAATCTGAATTCTGGGTTTTAGTTAAAAATTGTAATTTCATTTAGCATATGTTTTGTTAAGGTTAATATAAGCAAGGTTAAATTGCAAGAATGCCTTCCTTATACACATGGATATCTTATTTGTATGTAAAAACAGAAACAAAATAAGTCAGCTGAAGTATTTGGCAAGAAAAATTGAGCTAAAGTATTCTTTGTGTCTTAAATTTTGTCTTTTTTAATGAGAAGAAAATCTACATACCAAGCATGAAATATGATTAAAATACAGATCATTTTCCTTTTATATAATGAATGAATGAATAATGGTGTGATATGTATTCTTGCTTTTGTTTTCTTTTCGAATAATTCAACATTTTTCTTATCTTTTCCATATGTTTCTCTTTCCAGTCTGTCTAACATTTCCTCACCCATCAGTTCAAATATGCAACCACCGTATCGTATTTTTTTAAAATACAGTTGCTCCATTTTCTCTTTGGCCTTTTTGCTGTATTTTCTCATACGTGCATCATAGAGGTTCTTTTTTTTGAAAGAGGAGTTAGAAAGCTAAATCCTTATTAATCATCTTATTAATCATCTTACTAATCATCACTTAGTTTAAATAGACCAGCAGTGCTTGACTCAGCATCTTCAAGATACGAGGTATTGACTACAATTTATTACATTAAAAAGGACTACCTGCTCTTTTCCTGTTAATTATATCATTTATCTGGGAAAGAGAGTGGTGATACAGCAAACTTAGAATAATTAAAAGTAAAAGAAGGTGATGAAAGCGGTTTGATTTTGTGCTTGGTGTTAGATGTTTAAAAGCTGTCTCTGTGAAAATTATCTTTGAACATCCTGCCAAAAAAGTAAAACACCTGTAAATTCTGCTCTCTTGTTTTTCAGCCAGTATTCTCCAAGCTATGTCTCTCTTGGTCTGCGCAGAGATGTACCAAGTGATGAGGCTCCAGCATATCTGTGAGCTGTACATCATCACGCAGCTCCAGAGCATGCCTAGCAGGGAGCTGGCGTCCACGAGTCTCAGCATTGTCAGCTTGCTTAAGAAAGCCAAGGTATGTGTTGTATGTATTAAATAAGAATACACATGTTCACTCTAATTGGTGAGTTTTTTGTTGGTTTAATAGTTTCCGTTCCGAAGGACAAACACGGATATAGTCTGTTGATGTCTGGTGGCATGAGGTTGGCTAAAATAAGGCTTTTTTCAGCCTTTTATTGTGGAATGAGCAGTCATACCATAATCTGTGTGATGTCCTTCATCAGGGACGCATTTTACTAATTTAGCTTAACTGCAGCTTCTGCCAGAAAAGAAGTGTTTGAGGCAAGTCAACTTCCTTTTTTGGTCAAAAAGAAAATTGTACTATATGGAAGTGGCAAAGGAGATCTAACCTGAGAATATTGAGTGAAATACATAAAAAGCATGAAAAGAAAATATTAGAAGCTGGAAAAAAAGAGAGACAGTAAAGACAGGTTTGGAAAACAGAAGAGGAGAATAAAAACTGAATTTTTTGCAAGTTTCATGCAGGATATTGTCTTACATGAACAGGATTTTGTGGAGAAAGAGGAGACGACAAACCACGCTCCTTACCTTCCTTTTCCTAAAGATCTGCTAATGTGCAGAAGACAAAAATTTCCAAGATTGATGACCAAAGGAGCCCCAGGGGCTAGGTCACACCACTAGGGGAGGGAGTTTTCTCATTTTTTCTTGGGTCTCCATTTGTTTACATCTTTCCATCAATGACATTTCCTTCAGTATCTCCTACCATCAAAACCTTATTGAGTAAATTGCTGTCAAATTAATGTTGACAGTGGAAATCTGAAATATTTTGACATGCAAGTTGTGATTGTGTTTTAGACGTGATAGCGTTAAACGTTGTTTGTGTTTCCTTTTTTCTCGCAGTTTCACAATTCCGATTGCCTTTCCACTTGGCTTCTTCATTTCATTGCCACTAACTACCTCATCTTCAGCCAAAAGCCTGAATTTCAAGATCTTTCAGGTAATTTATCAATTCCTTTTAAAACAAGAAATGTTTTTCAGTTCTGCTTAGACCAGGAGTGAGGTAGTGGGCAATACTACATCTGCATGAGAAGATGATTAGGACTTCTTTAGGCTGCGCAGTCCAGTCCAGCCTAGAGCCTGGTTGAGCTGGAGCGTTCACCACCCTACGGTGGGACCAGCACACAAAAGGGCAGCGTAGCTGGCAACTGCATCCCCTTGTCTTTTGGTTCCTGGGCTGATGGCCACTTTCCCACCCATAACTGAATCAAGCCGGGCAGTTCAGTCATCATATGTCAACCCTTCCACCTCACGTACATAATTTTGTTTAGTTTGTACATTTGAATCAAGGTAATGAGTTGCTAATACCCGCTCTGTAGCGGCTGAGGTTTTCTTTGAAGAAAATGTGATTCTTACAGCACTCTCCAGCAGATCTCATGAAATCAAATAACTATGTCCGTTCAAATGAATAAACCCAGGTTCTTCAGGGAGCTGACATTTATTTTCCCAAACAGTATGTTTGTTTCCTGACACATAAGTCTGTAAAGTTTTGCTCATTGCTCATGGAATTTTTTATCACTCTGGTGATGGTGACCTTGACAGGTGCATCTCTTTGACCCATGGTTCATATCCAGGCTGTCCTCTCTGTTTGGTGAAGGTGGGAGCTGCCTCTGGCTTGCCCTTCATGAGCCAGGAGAGCACAGAGGTTGATGGCTTAGGATCACCGCAGGGCTCAATCCAGATCTGCTTACCCATTTTCCAGTTGTCCAGTGGGATATCAATTTATCAATATCACTTTTTTTTTTTTTTTCTGCTGTGGAAAGTAATAATAATAGCGGTTCTGTCTCGATGTTGTGTTTATCCTGGTGAATATCAGGCTGCATATGAGCCTGTTGTGAAACTTATGCAGTGATGCTTCTGATAAGGTTCTCATGCTTCTGATGAGCATCACTTATCATTGCCTGTCAGCACATGCTCTGACAGTGCCCAAGTAACTTGGGGATGAGCTGTGCAATATCATAGAATCATAGAATCACAGAATGGTTTGGATTGGAAGGGACCTTAAAGATCATCTAGCGCTAAACCACTGCCATGGGCAGGGACACCTCCCACTAGCCCAGGCTGCTCAAAGCCTCATCCAACCTGGCCTTGAACACCTCCAGGGATGGGGCATCAACACCATATCCGCAAGCCAGCTGTCTGCTGTGCCATCATTTGGAGTTTCATCCATGCTTACACCATTCATGGAGCATCCAGGATGAATGCAGAGCAGAACTAAAGCTGTGGGATGAATTTTCTGGAGTCTGTGGTGGGTGGCTCGTACCAGGCTGGTTGTTTTGGAAAGCACCTGGGGATAGATGTGAAGGAAAAGGTTCCTGTGTGGTGGACTGATATCCTTTCAGATTGGGTGTCCACATGCTTGGCAGCCTGTCCTTTGCTTTTCTCCTTCCGTTGAGTCCCTTCAACATGGTTAACTGAGGAGTTGGCATTCTCTGCTGGATCAAACTTGCACAGAGCAAGCTGGAGGAAAGAAATAAAAGTGCATAAATAAATCTAGGTGGATGGAGTGACATCCTTCTGATCCATCTTGCCAGGTCACAAACACTCTCAGGCAGGCTCTGATGGGAGCACACCTCCCAGACAGCAGTGGTTATGGGCAGTTGACCTTCCTTGTTCAGAACACCAGACCCAGCATCACCTTGGGGTCCAGGGAGAGCAATGCTGCAGGAGGCAGCGGCTCTGCGTGGACCTTCCAACAGCCAAGATCTCCAGCAGCAGCCCCACAATTTGCACAAGGAAAGTGGGACGGCACTGCCTGCCGCCTATCATTACTGCTGATTCCCTGACCACAGCCTTCCCCAGTGACAAAAACCACATGCAATAAAAGATAGAAGTCTGCAGACTTTTAAATTTCTCTCCTCACCTTGCTTTTTGCAATGATCCTCAGACCATTTGTTGGCACAGGGATGGAAACACCCTCCTGTACAGTGCTGCAGCATAGAAAAATCATCGCAGTGGAGTACCCCATCTGGTTAACTGCTGAGGATAAAGAGTAATCATCTTTGGGATAATCTCTCTGCTCTCTTTAATGAGTATCGTATTTATTTTGTTAAGTAACTTATTGATGGCTGACTGAATAGCAGGAGATCATCCCGCGATAACTTTCACATCAGCACAACAGTGAGATCTCAGCAAAATGGGCGGCGCTCATCTTCACTTTTCTAGGTGTGGTTGTATCCTGCATGATGTTTAACTTGTTTTCAAAGACTCTCTGCAGGCTGTGCACTCGTGCTGTGTGTCTGGATGTCACATCTCACCCCTTTATCTCTTTCTCTAGTGGAGGAGCGCAGTTTTGTGGAGATGCACAGGTGGCCATCCAACCTGTACCTGAAGCAGCTCGCAGAGTACAGGAACTACGTCCACTCGCAGAAAAGCCATTGCGCCATGATGTAGAGGAGACCCGACACACGCCAAGTGCATCTGGACTGGGAAACCCCAGACTGGGAATTGCACAGAGTGTGAAAGTTTTGTCAAGAGCAAAACCAGACTCTGATCTCCCCAGAACACTGGGTGCCACTGTTCCTGGCTTTGGTAATAAACCACTCTGCTTCTTTCCTTAAAGCATTGAGAAGTGTGTCCTGGTGATTTCTTTCAAGCACAAGGACTTCAGAGCCATGGGGATTAACCATAGCATGGGCCAGTGTTGTGACTGTCATGGGCTCCCATTGTCATTTCTTTATGGGTTATTTTATTGGTTTGCGCGGTTATTTTCAGCTGCTAATACAGCAGGAGCACAGCAGCAGCACAGGGAAGCTGAGAAGCCAACTCCTAAGTTCTTTAAATAGTTTGGAATGCCAAAATTCTCTGCAGTGTCTGTTGGTTTGCAAAACAAAGGGCAGGGTTAGTAAGCATTTCGGTAACTATTCATTTCCTACTTCAAGTCAAGTCTGTAGTTCCTTTACCAAGACTCTTGCAGTCCCTCGAAGGAATATTTTAATTCCCGAGAAATACTGATGCATCACTATGTCCTCTAGTGCCTCCCAAAAATTGAAAAACTGAAGTGATTTTTCATCACAGTAAATAGGTGAAGAAAGCCTGTTTTAATAATCTGTAGAACATCTTTGGGTTTTTTTTGGACAACAACAACAAAAATTAACTTGTGACTCAGCTGGCTGCTGCAGGCTTTAAATTCTGAGCTTAGTTTTGTGGAAAAAAGATAAATTATTGTTATTTTCAACTTTTCATCTGGGGATCCTGAAGTTCTTTAAAAGATGAGTTATACTTGTCTACATCTCACATATGAGGAGTCTGAAATACAGAGCATTGCATTGCTTTTTTCAAGCACTAAAGAAAACGGAAAAATTAAAGAAAAAACATGAGTAGGAAAATAATATATCTTGAACTTAAATATTAAAAATGTAATTTCCTGTAATTATTGTAGAGATTAAAAATTTTAAGCATAAGTTAACTGGATGGATATGAATAAAATTTGGATTTTTTTAAAGCATAAAATCATGAAAAATTATGGCCATACAGCTGAACTACAGCTCACCTGGACATCTGATAGCATCCTTTGTCACAGCACGTGCTTCTACCAGCAGCCAGCTCAATTGTCAAAAGTATGGGCTGTATGCCTGGTACTACAAAACTGGTACAAAAGTTGTGTGAAAGTTTGCCTGCATTGCTTGTAGTTCTGAATTCTTAATATTTTAAAGCTTTCCTAGGTTTTTTTTGATAGAAGTTAGTCTGTTGACAATAATTTAAATATAGATAACAAATAACAAAATACTATTTTTAACTTTATGTAAATGTTTTATAGGCATTTAAAGATAAGCTTAATGGAAATACAATTTGTATCCAGACAAGAGAAATATTTTGCTATTGTGTATTTTAGTCAGTGGTAGCCACAGGTTTTATACAAAGAAGACAGACTCTGTAAAAATATTTATTATTTATTCACAGATTAATGCACACTCCTATTCAGACATTAAAGCAGCTTTCCATTTCACTGAGCATCCCCCTAACACCACCTGTATCAGGGGTAGATATGCTGTCCTTGCTGACATAAACCATCTGATAAATTTAAATTCTTAGAAGAATTCTTAATATAAATTTCTGATTTTTATTCTGTATGATGATTTTCTGCAGAAATGTATTTATCTTAAAGCTATTTTTAAAACCAATACTTTAGCATTCAGTAACTGAAAGTAGACCATGAGGCTTGGTGAGTTGCTGTCTCTAATTTTTTTTAGTGGAGGCTTTAGGACCACGTTCATCGTGGGTATTCAGGAATTAGGGCAGTACTGAGTTTGGTATTTATTAATAACTTCTTATGATACAAAGTGAAAATTGCTGTGGTATTAAAAACAAAACAAACCACCTTTATACTGTGGTGTAAAGTAAAATCACGAACCAGCTGAAAAAAAAGCTATTAAGCAAGTAATTTTGAAAGAATTAAAATGTCTTAGGAGGAAGGCTTCCTCTGGTCCCAGCATCCCCTGAACTCTCAAGGCATCAGCAGTCAAAGAAGGAGGCTGGTGGCAAGTCTGGGTGCTCTGAGGCCAGTCTTGGAGGGCTTGGAATTACAGTTTCAGACTTGAGTTTAAATTGAGTTTCAACTCCCAAGTCCTTTATTAGAGCTAACTCTCAAAATCCACTTTTAGAAGACGAATTTTTGAATAATTAATTGCACCATATAATTCTTGCTGTATTGATCTATGTGTATGCTTGTCCCAAGCTAACACTAGGCGTTATAGAGACTAACAAAGAAAGCTTTCTTCTCCAGTATTGTTTTCCACGTGATAGTTTAAAAACCTCTGCTACTGTTCTTTAGGTCTCAATGCATTTGTTTTGAAAAAAAGTGTTGGAAGAAAAGATATGTTATGGGGTAAGTGCTGAAACTCCTGTATGTTTTTCTTTTAGTATGTCCTGAATAAATGTATGTTTTCAGACCAAAAATTTAAAATTTTGTTACAAAATAAAAATTTTTCTCTAGTTAGTCTCCTATGAATATTTACCCATGTACATTAATTTGAGCATTACACTGGCAATACTTTTTGTAGCTTATTAGAATCAGAGCATCATCAAACAGTTTGAGTTGGAAGGGACCTCTAAAGGTCATCTCATCCAACCCCCATGCAATGAGCAGAGACATCTTCCACTAGATGAGAGCCCCATCCAACCTGACCTTGAATACCTCCAGGGATCGGTCATCTACCACCTCTCTGGGCAACCTGTTCCAGTGTTCTCTCTGGGCAACCTGTTCCAGTGTTTCTCCACCCTCATTGTATAAAATTTCCTCCTTATATCTAATCTAAATCTCCCCTCTTTTAGTTTAAAACCATTACCCCTTGTCCTGTCACAACAGGCTCTGCTAAAAATCTGTCCCCATCTTTCGTATAAGCCCCCTTTCAGCACTGGAAGGTGCTGTAAGGTCTCCCTGAAGCCTTCTCTTCTCCAGGTTGAACAACCCCAACTCTCTCAGCCTGTCCTTGGACAGGAGGTGCTCCAGCCTCTGACCATCTTCATGGCCTCCTCTGCATTATAACTAAAATGAAACAATTCCACCACCCCCATCTCTGCGTGCTCCAGTGCCTTGCTGCTCCAACCGAGCTGGCACACTGCTGGGGCAGAGGGGGAGGATCCCCTGCCTCGACCTGCTGCTCATGCTGCTGGTGATACAGCCCAGGACACGGTTAGCTTTCTGGGCTGTGAGTGCACGTTGCCAGCTCATGTCCAGCTTTTCATTCACCAGCACTCCCAAGTCCTCCTCAGGGCTACTCTCAATCCCTTTGTCCCCCAGCCTGTCTTGATACTGGGGCCTGCCGTGACCCATGTGCAGGATCTTGCACTTGGCCTCATGACGTTCACATGGCCCCACTTCTTGAGCTTGTCCAGGTCCCTCTGGATGGCATCCTTTCCCTCCAGTGTGTCAACAGCACCACACAGCTTGGTGTCATCTCCAAACTTGCTGAGGGTGCACTGGACCCACTGTATCCTTGATGAAAACATTAACCAGTACTGGTCCCAGTATGGACCCCTGAGGGACACAACCTGTCACTGATCTTTATCTGGACACTGAGCTGCTGACCACTACCCTCTGGATGTGACCATGCAAGCAATTCCTCACCCAGTGAACAGTCCATCCATCAAATCCATATCCCTCCAATTTAGAGAGAAGGATGTTGTGGGGGACCATGTCAAAGGCCTTACAGAAGTCCAGACAGATGGGTATACATGGCTCTAACCTTGCCCACTGATGTAGTCACTCCATCATAAAAGGCCACTAGGTTGGCTGGTCAGGACTTGCCCATGGAGAAGCCATACTGGCTGTCTCCAATAACCTCTCTGTCCTCCATGTGCCTTAGCATAACTCCTGGGAGGACCTGTTCCATGATCTTCCCAGGCACAGAGGTGAGGCTGACAGGTCAGTAGTTCCCAGGGTCCTCCTTCCTACACTTTTTAAAAATGGGTGCGATGTTTCCCTTTTTTCCAGTCACTGGGGACTTCACCTGGCTGCCATGACTTTTCCAATATCATGGAAAACGGCTTGGTAACTACATCAGCCAATTCCTTTAGGACTCTGAGGTGCATCTCATCTGGTCCCGTGGACTTACATATGTTGAGGTTCCTCGAGTGGTCTTGAACCTGATCTTCTCTCACAGTGCAAGGGACTTTGCTCCCCCAGTCCCTCTTTTGCAGTCCCTCCACTTGAGAGGTGAGGGATGAGAGGTTGCCAATGAAGTCTGAGGCAAAAAATTTCTGTACCTCAGCCTTCTCCTCGTCCATTGTTACCAGTTTGCCAATCATGTTCATCAGTGGGGGTACACTTTCTTTGACGTTCCTTTTCTGGCTGACATACCTATAGAAGCCCTTATTATTCTTCACGTCCCTCACCAAGTTCAGCTCCAACTGTACCTTGTCCTTCCTGCCCCCATCCCTATACAACTGGGCAGCATCCCTGTATTATTCTGAGGATGTCTGCCCCTGCTTCCACTGCCTGAGTGTTTCCTTCTTTAAACTGGAAGAGGGCAGATTTAGACTAGATATTGGGCAGAAATGTTTTCCTGTATGGGTGGTGAGGCAGTGGCCCAGGTTGCCCAGAGAAGCTGTGGATGCCCCATCCCTGGAGGGGTTCAAGGCCAGGCTGGATGAGGCTTTGAGCAACCTGGGCTAGTGGAAGGTGTCCCTGCCCATGGCAGGGGGTTAGAACTCGTTCGTCTTTAAGGTCCCTTCCAACCCAAACCATTCTGTGATTCTATGATTCAATGATTCCTTGTTGCCCCTTACTTTGACCAGCACGTCTCAACTCAGTCACGCTGGTCTCTTCCCTTCCTTTCCTTATTTCTTACACTTGGGGATCGAGAGCTCTGTGGAAAGCATCCTTAAAGGTCTGCCCACACTGTTCTGTTCCCTTGGCCCTGAGGGCAGTTTCTCAGGAGTTCCTGTTGACT